AAGTTTGCTACCTGATTAGGTGCCTGATTGATACTGTAAAATATGTCCATCAGCTTAGCCTGATGGTAAAGGATGGTTTATTGGCATAATAGTTTATAATAAGTGAGCACATTGTGCATAAGCATACATACAGCATCCAGGGAGAGAGAGGACACAGCATGAGCTCTGCACGGTGTCCTCACATTTCTCCAGGTCAAACTCAGATGACAGCATTTGTATTTTTGTATGAATCATTGCATATTTATTTCTTTATAGCTCAATGGTTGCATGCAAGGGTCTCATGAAAAGGACTGACATACAAGCTGTGATGAGATGGAGCTGCTGACTGGCTCACTTGCAGAGCTCTTGGTTCATGTTGTGGTGCTCCTTGTTGTAGCCCGCCCCAGCGAAGCACATGGCTGCATGCTTGTCGCATTCACAAATAAACATCTCGCAGACAGTGTTGGACTCTGTCAGAGAGAGAAGAAAGTAAAGCAGTGTCTGTGTGAGTTTGTGTTTGTATGTGTACATACTCACAGGAAGCTGTCAGGTTAATATGACGGCAGAGACACTTACCTTTGCAGGTGATAGTCTTGTTTGCCTTGTCACAGCTGTAGGAATAGGGTAGGGTATAAGGGTTTTCCAAAACAGGCCAGCAGGCCTCAAGGTTCTTGGCTTGGTGATAGCAGTGGTCATGGGTCTGGCAACACCTAGACAGATAAAGAATGAGCCCTCAGCTGTGCAGCTCTGCTTAGCAGACAAAATATCGCTGTGAAGAAGCCACACTGATCAATCCCAATGGTGGTAACCAGAAAACACACACGCCCAGGAGTGGATGTGGTTGTAGGATAAAAGGATGATGTTTGATGGTATTAAGATTATTGGTTCATCTCCTCAGGCAGTGGAGTAATGGCCTGTAGCTTTGTACCCTAGTCCTGGCTGGCTTCATTATCCTCAGACTATGAAGTTCCCTTTAAACTGCAAAATAAATGCAGGCTAAATTGTTTTAAAGTACAAGCACACACTCCTATTAGCATCCTCCCTCTGTGACTCCTGACCTGTCCAAGTCATCCACGGCTGTCCCAGCGCCTCCCTTTCCACAGTAACAGCCATAGTCTCCATAGTCCAGCAGAGGCCAGCTGCTAGGGATCTTGCAGATGATCATATCCCTTAAGCCCAACAGTGACCTGTAGTCTGGGTCCATCATCACTGTGACGCAGGGGTGGAAAGACAGGATGCATTGAGTCCAGCCAGGTAACAGAGACTCAGATAGAAAACACACTCACACACAGGATGGGCCTCAGCCAAGTAAACTGCAGGTGAGAAATTAAGACCAACTTTAATTCAAATCTCATTTCGAGGTTGAAGAATGCTGATCTTGTCATTACAGCAGGTGACTCCATGTCCCACCTTTTCAAAGACTCAGCTTAGCCACTTGCCTACACCTGCTGACTCGCCTCTCAAGTCCGCCGTCTAACGCTTGCCAGCAGAATCGACTCCCTGCTTATAGATACTGACAAAGTAATAGAGGACATACTGGAACACTTACCGATGGACAGGCTAGAAGCCAACATGAAGAAAGTTTGGAGGGTTTTCATCTTGGTGATCTGGACGAAGGCCCAGGATAAAGAGACCATTTATAACTCCTTCAGACCTTGAAAAATGTGTAGCCACGATAAACACCTGGGCTAGGAAGAGAGCTGTAGATACAGATTGTGAAGGTCAAACAGAAAGTCCTGCGTAAGCAAGTTGCTTATGCTCTTCTACTACAGCTAGACAGTCTGGGAGACAACTTACCCACAAACTGAGATCAAAAGGAACCCAAAATGTTGATGTGCTGTAGCAACTGGTGCATATGTCCTAGTGATGGGACCAAGAGATTATTGCCGGTATAAGCATGATATCACTACATCTGCAGTCCACCTCTGTGCCCTGGGACTGGTGAGAGGCCAGGAGACCCAATCCAGTGCTCACCTGTTCCTCATCAAACTTGATGCCGAGAATGCTTAAGAGAACCACCAAGAGACCCGGGACCACCCTTCCATGCACAACAAACATGGCCTGTGATCCAGCCCCAAAAACTGGCTAGCTGTCTGCAGGATCCACCAGATTGAACCGTTCACCACCTCACGTTCATTGAGTCCAGGGTTGTCCTGTGTCAGCCCTACCTGATTCTGGTAGTACCATTGTTATGGTGAACATTGTGGGACCAATGGGGGAGTAGTTGGTCAAAGTTATGGTGCTTCCTGGCTAACAGGGAAGATCAAATTTGGGACTGCTTACACTGGCTGGGGATGAGTGCTGCCATCAAGGACAGAAATCCCCCATTTGCCGATGGACAGCTTCTTATCTGCCACTATGTGGTGCCTTGGTGGCCCTTCCTACTATTGAAGTACACATTGGCCAGGAGCATGTCTGCTGTACAGCCACTAGTATATCCTAGTCATCATGGACTACGCTACCAGATACTCCAAGGTTGTGCTGCTCTGGAATGACCCAGGATTACTTCAAATGTTTCGGCTGTGTGGACATCCCCAAATACATCCCCAACAGACTAAAATGCAGTAGTTATGTCCTGACTAATGAA